GACTACTCGGGGCAAGCGATCTCAGCCTGCACGTGCGGCTCCGAAGACTACCCGGCAGACTAAGCTCAACTTCTCGCAGGCTACCGCCTCTCAAGCCGCTGTCGAGATCAGCGATGATGAGATTTCGGACGAGGATGCGTTCGAGCCGGCGCCGGCCACCACGCGTAGCAGACGGAGATAGTCTCTGAGATTATGAAAGGGTTCGGTGTGATGTAATGGAAAAGTTGCCGAGACTGTTTGATGGTCTCTCTTGCATGGTCAGCCACTTGGAGTCAGGGAGCGGGATTTAGCTTTGACTTAGATCGATGAACCAAGATACCCCTCGCCAATGAGAAAGGTTTAACATCCAACTACACGTTCCCCGTTGAAGTTGTCTATCGTTTGCCTCTTGCCTTGCTATATCTGTCTTTTTCGTATGACCCTTATCTTTAAAACGATGTAGCTTCGGTTTGCGCGAAGACCTAGTATTCTCAAGTACGTGGACATGAGTACCATCCGGCCAAGGATTGAGCTTGACTTGCCCTGAAGCTGTCGTAGCAGCCGCCCTTCATTCCGCAGACTGATTCTTGGCTATTGCTTCTCAGCCCGAGGTTTTATAAATTCCGGCATTGTCTAGATCGTCACGTTAGCCAAATCCAAATTCAAATGCTACTGCCATGACGAGGCCATACAGGACCTCCGTTTCTGAATGTATCTGACTGGTATACGTTCAAAAATAGCATCATGAATACATCCTCGGTCTTCACTCATAGATCATCGAATTGGTAGTAGAATAACGCCTTCCGCCTAGCCCCAGAATGACTGGTCCCCTTCTACTGCCGTAGCCCAGCCGACTTACGGACGCACGGCAATGGAGAAGATTGTCCATCGCCAATAGAGTCATTCAACGAGGAGGAACTCAATTATTCAGATATTTGTCTTCTGGCTCTTCAAAACCAAGTGTGACTCCATCGAGTGTAGTTGGATTCAATGGCACACGTGAACGCCCTCACAAGATGGATATCCTCATGTATCTCTGGCGATTATCTGTTGATGAGCCGAGTGCATGGCTTCTATCGTTCGGCTACTACACGCTACTGCTTTTAGTCTGCCTCGAACCCTTCATTCTCTTTCTGCGGTGTATCACAGGCGAATACCCGCCCAGAGACGTTGCGAGAAGCCTATTCCTCGATAATGGCCTTGATAGTGGCAATACTACCATGGAGCCTAACCAGGCACATAGACGTTCCGACGGGCCAACTCCACCGTGCACGCTACATATGATGGACGTCTTCCACCCAAGTGTCTCTTAATCTGATGGAGCAAGGAACCAACGCACGACGAGGTCCTTCCTTAGATAAGACCCCAGAGGCAAGCCTGCCTGCTTGTATATTATACTCAGGACCATATGTGACTGAGGGGGGCACCAAGCTGTCTGTCAAGAACATTGATCATCGCATGAAGTCGATCCATGTATGGCCTAGAAGACTGGAAAGGAGACAAGTGATGCGGTCTTAGCTGCTCTATCTGTCCGAGCCCTTGGAAGCCGAAACTAAATTGAGAGGATCTTAAAGCTGTTCGAAACACCCAACGAGGCTGGCTAATATGTTGAGTTCGGTTGAAGCCAGAGGGGAAGGATAACATCCAACAAAAATTAGATTTGAGCAGTGGTGGCGACCAGTTCCACTACAGGGTGACGACTCGGTATTCGCAAATCATATCATGGAGGTCGGAGACAGCTTACTGCAAGGAACCCGCGAGATGGAGCTGTGTAGTCGATGTTACAGCCATGTACACCAGGCCAAAGAAATTGAGAAGTCAGCGAAGATGATCAAACTCATACCTTCGGTCTAACGGAGAGTTGCCCTCAAGACCATCCATGAAACCGTGGCCGCAATCCAAGAATCAAGAGGCACGACGCAAGGCAAGTTGTTTTGTGGTGACGTCTCTACACGACATCAACAGTACTTCTCATCCTCACCTCGCAAGGCTTTCGTCTGCAATAGTGTCTCTCATCCCTAGAAGAGCGAGGCAGCTTTCTACTCATGATTCCGAGCCCACGAAACACACAAGTGCCAACGTCTTGGCAGCTGCCCCACGACTATATCCCAGCAGTACCAGTTTCCAGACATCTTCCTCATCATTGTGAAGTCCACCGCGTGTCCATCTCCGACTATCATCAAGCGGACAGAAAAATTGTCTCACCTAAAGCCATACTTTGCGTACCAGATCTACCAACAAGCCTAGAGAGGCCGCGGATATCTTCACATACATTCAATTCTTACAGTTTCCTATTCCTTAAACGGCAAGATGTGCACCATTCTTCTTCCATTTTTGCCCCTGAGACATTAGAAAAGGGGGTTCAACTAAGGTGCTGACGAAGCCAACACCCAGGACGGAGATTGTGACGTCCGGAATATCCGGAACCAAGCTGTAGGAAATCATGCTGAGCTCCCTTTCAGTCTCAAGAGGCGCCGGTTACCGTCCAATACAAACATATACCCGTTTCTGCACTTCGAAAAGTCGAGCTGGTTCTGGGTAAGCTCGTCTGACCGAGGGCTCGATAGCTACGGATCACGCTATCATGCACAAGATAACTTCAACAGACTGGCCGGTGGTGACTGTGCGTAAAGAAGCCCCTATTCGGCGCTCAGTGACCTATTGTCAGTGGTCGAGAATATGCCGCGTAGAATATATCAAGAAACACAAAGTTCGCAGATCCAACATCGAGCGCTGAAATCTCCAAACAGAACCTATTGATCCGGTAGACGCAGCGCGGTCTCCGCAGCAGTCAAGGTTTCGAGGCTGCAGGAAGCCTCATTTAGCATGACTCAATGGCATACTCGCTCATCTAAGAAACTACCAAATATCATCTCAGATCTAATTCCTCCGGAGTGATGTGATGATTTAATGTTGTTTCCGCTTGTGGACCACGGCACCATCAGACTTCACGTACCGCGTGTAGCAGAGCGTACGAGGCATGAAGCTGCGGCTGGCGCTTCAGAGGGCCCTCGTAAGACTTTCCAGCATGCAAGAGACCGGCCAAAAGATGGAGCTTCTTCACAAAGACAAATGACGCCTGCTTGATAGCTGGAGGCCGAGGAACTCTCATCACAGGTCTCGCGTCATCCACTGCACCCTTTCCTCACCCCCTGTCCTCCTCATTCAACTCGCAGACCTCGCGGTTCCAACTGCATCAGCAACGATCTCATTTCGCGGGAGCGAGCCGGGCTTCTCGAAGCGCTCATGCGTGCAAGTGGGGTCGGATGAAGGAGTAAAGATTTTTTTTGAGATGAATCCACTTGAAGCCTAAAGCCGTTGGATCCCATCAGGGGTGCTTGTCTTTCGCCTCTCGGCTGGGCAAGAGGACTTTCTGTTGGTCTCGGTAGAATTTCTCGAAGGTCCCGACGATGCCTTTGATGGAGCTGGATCCCTGGTCGTATCCAAGGGTGGATACGTCCAACGGTCCAGGTCCTCAAGTTCTATTTGTGAACAGGTATCACCAAACATGGTGGCGGCAGACGGACGTGGCTTATAGCACCTTATAGCATCAGGGCTTAGTGTCTTACAAGACGTGAGAACGCATTCTAGTATCGAGACTGTCCGTGATGTGGTCGATTGAGTCGCCTTGTCCGGAAGCGTAGGAACGGTACAAAATAGAATTATGCTCGCTGACGGTTGGGCAGGCGTGAGCGTATCCGTACAGGTGAAGTCACAGACGTGAGTCCCGCAAGGGGTACAAGGTGTTCCATCTCCCCGGCTTTGGGTGGCCACTGGACTTCGGAAGCAGTTGTCCATTACGGGAGTCGCCGTCGTTTACCGTCAGGTTCGCAAGAAAGATGGATCATCTAGGGATTGACCAAAGGGTTCCAAGTGAACGATCGACCTTTCGAGGAAATAGGGGACCCTCTTCATGGAGTTGGGATCATCTTGCTGAACAGTAGGGAAATGATTGGTTTCACGTCGCTTGCAAGCGAAGTACTTCGTATGACTTCGCCGTGAAGAATCCGGCCGACACACGATCGTGGAAGTCGAGTGCTGCGTATGCCGGCGACTGTACCACGCATGGTGCAGAGTACATCGAAGGTGATACCTGGTTAACCACAGCCCCTCGAGTGAACCATGGTCGTGGGCCCCGGCTTGGCCCCATTTGTGTGATGTTTGCTTCCCGCCTTGCATAAGCGGAATATGTAGCCTTCTTCCGCGTGTCACGTTGATCACGTGGTATGAGAATGGCTATCGCGAGAAGATCCACGGTCAACGTAGCTGGGATTGTCATCTCTTTCCATGTCTGGACGAGAACCCAAGGGGTTTTCTGCAACTAACATTAAGAGATTTCCAGGCTCGCGACATCAAGAACAGACATTGATGGGAGGCTGCTCCGTCTGGTGGCTCAACTGAAGCATAATCGTTGGTGCACGTTATGCTGTAGACAATATTACTTGTAGTGTCGCCTTCAGTCTTGATTTCGGGGCGATATTTCCAATATCTTCCACATGCGCAGAGACTGCAGCACACGGTCTAGGCCGCATCTGGTGTGACTTGTGGTACAGTGACGGTTGACTGTGTTTGGTTAAATGAGAGATGGCACTGCCACCTTATTATTAGGAACCCTGTTCGGAGAGATGATAGCAGAGAGCTGGGGAACCTCGTAGATGGGGGACACCACTGAATGGTAAATTATCATCTGATTCAAAGACCAGATGCGCTGGGCCGCTGGCGGCAATGGCTGGGCTTGAACGACAATTGTGAACCTTGACCGAGACATTGAACAGGCACTTGCCCGAGAGCCTACAACGATGAGACGCCTTCTCCGGTGAGCTGCGCAATGTAACTTCGATATGCCGGAGCAGCCAAGCTTGTTATTGGTGTTTAGGAACCAGGCGCCCCTTGTGGAATGTCCTACAAGCCGGGCTTTTCACGTACTGGTTGACGGATATTGACTGACCGGTAGGAAGGCTTTTGCTTCGACAAGAAAATTGGGAGGGATGTCAGCGCCCATGCAACGCGCCCTGCATGCCTTAGCCGAATGAAGTCGTGATGCATGCCTCGAAACGCGACGCAGCCTCGGTCTCTAGCCATCCTAGAAGCTGGTTGGCACAAGGCGAATGCCATCCATGGGATATTTACTAATGTCGTGAGTTGGCTCATGGCTGTAACGGCGCAAACGGAGTGATTCTGAGATCATCGCGTTGAGCGTCGAGCGTGACAATGTGACCACTCTACTACAAGCTGGTAGTCTCGCAGTTCTTCATCCATCATACATTGTATCCGTACAGGGCTTGGTTAGTTTGCGCAGCCTTCGGGGAGCGACTTCGAAGAATCCGGTCTTGTGCAAGCCACCATCGCCTTGCTCGTACCCACCATTGGACAGGCTCAAGGGAGCTATTGTGGTAGGATCGTGTTCCGGATCGGCCAATCGATAGCGCTGACTGGGCATGATTGACGCATTTGGACGAACTGGTGACCTGCAATATTCTTGGGTTGTTGACTTGATGCAACGTCTTTAAAAGCCAATGTTGTATCTCCGTATTCCCGGAGAAAGCTCTCGGCAAGGTCGGAATGACCTAATTGGTATTTGTACCGCCATCAGGAGTATGACATCTGGCCTCGACCGTTTACTATGTGCGCATGTGGTTGTTTCCGAGAGTAGAAGCAAGGCAGACTGAGCCCATCATCATCATTCATGTATCCGACCCGTAGGATCTTGTAAGGCCAACTGGCGAGTCGGGGCCGCTCCGGGGACATTCGCTGTGGCGGCGCAGCGCACCGGTCGGTGGGTAAGATTAAGCTCCATCCCCCATCTCGCATCTCGTGAACGGCAGGGATGTTGAACGGGGATGCGGAGCGTGGAACGCCAGGGTCCGGCACATTTTATGCAAGGCGAGTGCCGTGTGACAGCGCGTGAGAGCGCGTGGGCGATTTTGTGCGGCGATGCATCCTAGTGTCTAATGCTACCATCTCCTTCATAGTCCGAAGCTCAGGCCCGACTTAATCGTGAGATCGTGATTCTCCCCAGGATGAATATCTTGCAACCTCTAGTCGTTGTATAAATGCTTGCTATCATAGGAACTGCTGCCGACCCTAAGAAGGTTGCAGAGAATCCGGAGCTATTGGATTCAAGCGGGGAGATGGAAATTAGGCCGCTAGACTTTGCCCGCCCCATTTGCCAATTCGAAATAGGGGATAGAGTATCCGCCTCCCGCGTGTGGCTACAAGTGGCCGATGTTGACCGGTTTGTGTGTTGCAAGCATCGTGACGACAGCCAGGGGCTGAAATAGGGGTTCACGAACCCTAGGTTATTACCAAGGAATTGGCGGCCGTCATCCTTGGTACGGAACTTTGGAAGCAGTGGAGCAGAAGAAGCGTCTTCCGGGCCTGAGTCCTTTTGTCGATCTCGCTCCGTCTCGAATTGATCCTCACCGATTTGCAGAGGTGCGACGTTAGGCGGCTCTCTGTGCCTTGGAGTCGACCATCACTAGGGGCATCTTGAAGAAGGGTGCGAGGACTAGGCGTGTAGATCTGGGCCCAGCGTGACGGCCCGAAGACGTCAGGGCAGTTGAGCCAGGTTCGCGTGCGAGGAGAGCCGAGGCGTGTTGGGCTAAGGTATTGTCGATGAGGATTCGAGTGGCACGGGCAGGAGCGCGGACGAACAATTCGTATCGTCGTTTCCTTTACCTGTTCAGCTTTGCTTTTCGAGGTGGCATTGCAGCAGCCAGCCTCTCAGCGCATTGAAAGCCAAAGTGATGGATTCGTCCTAGGTAGCTGGCGAGGCAACTGCATGTACCTAACGTATAACGCATGTCCTGGTGTCGCAAAACGCTCCCGGATCTTGCGTTACCTTGGATTCTTTTTGAGAATCTTGGGTGTCGGGATATGCAATGATACACGTAGAAACCAAATGGGGAGAGACATGGTCTGCGGGGGACGTTTTAGGGACCACTCGGCCTCGTCCGCTGCAAATTGCCAAGGTAGCGTTCCTGTATTCGTTCTCCGTACTCCGTAGTCTGTACAAACGGATACCTCTTTGGTGAACGGGAAATCATGGGAGAGAGGCGGCCGTGGATGGCGATGGAGGACAAAGACCCTGGACAATGTGCCACGCGAATTGGGTCCCACGTCCGAGGTGCTGGATCGTCAATGGATGGATGCGACAGGCACAGAATCGACCCGTCATGGCGGGTGTGCCGAAGGGCCTTTACTTTTGGTGAAACGGAACGGCGCGAGAGATGCGGAGTCTTTGTGCTGTCGGTGTCCTTGTATTTGGGAAGTCTTTATAATAACTTCATCAGGAATGCGAGACGATGCAAGATTCCTTCACAAGGGGCGACAAAGGAGGAGGGTCGAGGTCGACAATTGGAGCTTCTGAGACAGGGGTACCAATACCTTTGAGGAAAGACGTCGCGCGGTGTCTGACGCTGCAGACGCTGTGTCGTAGAGCTGAAGGAAACGGAGGAGACTCGAGGAGAAGGTGTTGATTGAGTGAGAGTGAGTGCGACTGCCCCAGGTTTGCGAGGATTGAAATGCTTCCCGGGGAGGCCTGGGGCTGCGAATTGCCCATGTCGGTGCTGTCTCAGCGGTAGGTTCCTATGCTTGTATTCCTTGTCGCGCTTGTTGTGCAGTGATTTCGTATCTCGATATGATGCGGAGGAATGGGGGCGGCACGCATGTTGTGCTGCAAGTGCCTTGTCCACGACTCAGGAGGCACTCTCTCATAGGTTGATGCTATTGCGAATACACACCGTGGCTGGCTGGAAGTCTCGGGAGGTCGATAGAGCCCAAGTCGTTGTACACTGCCAACGTAGGCAGATAGGCAAGAAAGTGGCGGTCTAAGGTATTGGGTCGGGTCGTAGTTGGTTGATTTCGCAGGGACGCGTGCCCAAAGTTTGGGTACTGGAAGAGATATCTCGACGTTGGTCTTGGAACTCGAAACTTACCTTGGTACGGACACCTTAGGTAGGCACTGTGGTATGGTATGCATTCCTTTGAGGTTCTCAAGTCTTGCCAAGGTAGGTGCTTCTTAGTCCTTCCGCAGCAAGTGCGTGCCAGGGAAGGTGAGGTGGGAAGGTCCAAGTGCACAGTCTCCCTGGAGTACGTGCACAGTACTTTGTACTCTGTATGGATCTGCATGTCTCGTTCGCTGCTGGTGGAAATGGATTGGAATACTTTGATGAAAGATGCGGGCGTGGACTCGAGGACTGTGGAGACACGGGACTGAGTGCCATCGGCATTTCCTCGGTTGTCATTGGCTGCCATTGGCTACAATTGCTGTGTATGGCAAGTGTCGTGCGGCGTGCGGCGTGCGGCGTGTCTCCTCCATTCCTGCACAACACAACTCTGGTGCTGCAGGCACAGACAATCATGACTTTCCACTCTGGCAGATGAGAATCTTGTGATTGGTTAGCTGTACAGTGCGGGTAAGCCGAAGACAAGGCATCTATCCGCACGGCGTTCGATATTCACTGAGGTGGTGTATCAGTCAAGGTCCAAAACCTCCCTCCAGTCGAAACCCACCTCAGTGCCGACACTCGCCACAGTTTATCGCATCTTCCTGACCCTGCTAGGTGGTGGCAACAGGAAACTCTGTCTACATCCGGGATGCACCAGAGTCGGGCACTTAAAGCCCGTCGGGAACAAGATAACAAAAGCTTTCAAGTTGATACGGTACCTTATGTTCGAGGCAAAAGCAGATCAACCTTTGTGTTGAAACCTACTCGATGACACGTCAAGGGAATACCCTAAGGTAGGTAAGGTAGGTACTCCGTACCTTGGACGCGAACTACGCCGCTGTGGGTTCGTCTGATGCTCACAATGACACGACAGCATCGCGTTCTGGAAGAGAAACCATCGTTTTGTGTTTGAATGTGTGGTCAACGGCGTTCCTTGGAGAACCCTTCCCGCCCGTTCTACATACCGTTGGAGATGATTACGCAGAAACACCCTACTTGAGTGTGCACTGCACCTTAGTATTTGACACTTTCGGTTTGTAGTATCGCACTGTGTACTTGTCATGGATGCACAACGTGGATGCAGATGTCGAGGGATAATTTGTGGATTTTGTGCGTGTTTCCCAGCAACGCACGGGACGGTGACGGAAAGACCACTCAATATATATTGGACCGGTGTGAGGCAACGGCAGGTCAGGAACGACGGGGCGGGCTTCCTTCCTTTTGGCATCGCAGCCAGTGATAGACGCCGCCATTACAGCTGACACTGTGCTAGCGCCTTCCTACACAACCTAAGGTAAGCGTGACAAGTTCCTGCCCATCTGGCTTATCCCACAGGCTGGGCCCCTTCCTTCCCTCCACCGCTCTGGCAGTAGCCGTAGTCCCCGTGCCACCTTCCCGCCCCTCCCTCCCAAACGCGTCCGACCACAGACCACGGACCACGGGCAGGCCGCAGCCCTCACCTCACTCACCACAGACCGCAAACCGTCTGTGGCCCAACAGCGCGACGAGATGCAACGTGCAACGTGCCTGCGAGTCAAAAGGCAAGTGCTCCTCAAGTGCAAACCTCCCAGTTGCTCCCTGCACCGTCTCCGAAAAGGGAACATACCTTGAACCAGACGCAATAAGGCATCTTGGGCATTTGGGTGTACCTTCCAGGTTGAGGCATAGACACTGAAAGCAGGGGAAAGCATACAAGGCATCGTCCATTTCTCTCCTGCCGTAGGTAAGGTACCTTACGGAGTACTCTCTACTACGTACCTATGCCATGGCGCAATCGTGACTTCCCATTCTCGAGTTCATGATACTAAGGTAATAGGGAAGTTATGCGGCAGGCAATGCCAAACTTGACACTACCTTCCCTTTTTCTGGTATTCTTTCCCAGGCAGAACACACCTTAGCAAGGCATTCGGCCTTCAACCTTCTGACACCATTTCCCTTACCTTTCACATTTCTGCAGAGGAAACGTCGCTTCATAGACTATTCAATTCATTATCCACCACCACCGCGCAATACGCACAAAGCATAAAAACCACGGGCCATGGGCCACTCACCGCAGGCTGATTGCATTTTCTGAAGCGACACCGGCGACAACGGCGGTCGCGCCGCTTTTCTCCCTCTTGCCCCTTTTCTCATCCATATCTTACATCGAGGCCCAGTTCATCGCTATTCGGTATCTACTATACGTACGTAGTAGTAAGGTATCTGTACGAATAGCAAATAGTCTACAAAGACACCGCCCCTGCGAAACGTGAAGCTTCAATGTCCGTCGAGGATCCTCGGTCCCGCTGTGGACTTGTCCAGCTGCCACAATCCATCGCGGCAGACACTGTCGGCGCCGACTGCTTTCCAGAGATGACGACCTGTCCGTCCAGCTCGTGATCGCGAGGACGACGGAAGAAAAAGGAAGGAGGAAAGTCTGGAGAGCTGAACCCAGCCTTTGTCGAATACGGATAATTGGCTGTACATCTATCGAGGTGAGGTGCCTGGATCCTTGGCCTAGGTATTCGTACAGTTACGGTTCCCTGCCTCATCGATCAGGGTACTTTTACCCCTACCGAGCCTGGAGTCATACCTTGCCTTACCTGTACAGTTCTGACTGTTCTGGAGACAGGTCCTTGCTCATTGGCAACCCAGGACCCAGGGTTATGGGCACGAGTACTCCGTACAAGCATGGGTCTGACATGGCACTTTAGCGTACAGGTACTGCGTGTACCTTTTGCTCCAATTGACGACTTCCTTTTAGCAGAGAGTACGCAGGCTCGGCCATGCCATATGAAGACATATTTCCATGTACTGCGTTTTGCGGCCATCTGAGAAGCACTCCTCTGGTCAACGTACGCGAGAAGTCGGATACTCGGAGCAAGACGAGACGAGCCGTCCTTTCTCCCCTCTCCCCATGGCACGCCGCATACTACGTATGCCCACCACAACAATTACCATGAAATACCCACCTCACCACGCACACCACACCGCATCGCGCCGCGCTCAGTTTGTCAGGGGTACCTGGCTCCGCGGTAATGCCTGGGCCCTCCGTCTCCTTCCCGTCTGCCGCCTGCGCCTGTGACTTGCACAGGGCAACAACGGGTAGTTACAACGGCACAAGCCATGTGCGCATCGGGCCCTGAGGCTGGGGGTCAAAGGGTCAGACATTGTCATAGCCGTGGGTACCAGAGTCAGTGCCAGTGTCAACACGCAGCTCCTTCTCGCATCAACGACACTCTCTCGACACAAGGCCGAGAGGTACATCAGCAGAATCAAAGGGAAGAAAGGCTCTTGAGCCTCGGACGTTGCGAGATGACCAAACCTTGCCGAGTTTGGGACCAATTTTCAACGTACTCTGGACTACTGTGTATCCGTATGCCCCGTCAACAAGAAGCAAATGATGGGTCGGTCAACGGTCTCCCCGCCAGACACGATGGACAGGATAGATTGAGACGGAACACCGCCAACACCATTGCACCAAAGCTAACCAAGCCTACAGTGTGAGCCGGCCATGAAAACAACAACAGACCCTGACCAGCGGGACACTAGTATTTTCCTACATGAGTAGTACGGACAGTAAGTCAGTTGGTGAGTTACGGAGACTTCTGGCTGATTGATTGACTAGTTAGAAGGGCGATAGCGGGTTTGTTCCCGCACGTTGCTCTGAGCGAGCCGACTGGACCCCAGAGGTCATGGACCCCCAATTCCTCATACAGCGGGCCCAGGTGAGGGCGAAGAGGTTTGGAGGTTCCGAGATTCGCCATATCGTACAGCGTACGGATACAGAGAAAAACCTTGGGCACAGGAACCTTGCCGAACCAAAGGGGGACCGGGGCATCCAGTCCAGCGAAACGGTGAAGGCTTTCGTCCGCCCTCTCTCTCTCTCTCTCTCTCTCTCAGTCTGTCTATCTATCCGTAGGTACCTTGTTCACGTACCACGTGATACCTTACAGCGACAGGTTCTAGTGGCTGGCACTAAGGCGAAGAAGAAAAGACACACTGACCTCGGGAATGTCAGTCCCTGCTGCCAGATGGACGGGCTTTTAGCGGCGCTGTCAGTGTCAGATCTGAGGTCTGTTCATGTTCAGCAACGTCAGGTACCTCGAGCAAACTTGCCTGTACTAGAGAGAAGTTATGTTGCCCTGAAGTTATTGATGCAGCTTCGCAACGAGTGCATTTTCTTTGTTGACATGGCTTTCTCTACCTTGGAGAGAGGAAGGCTTAAGGCTCAAGCACAAACACAATCACAAACACAAGCAATACTTGTAGAATAGACACGACTCTCCTCATCATCGTCGGTCGCCCTGGGTCGTCGCCCCGATCCTTGTCTTGAGCCTACTGTGTACTGCGTAGGCCTGCCCTGTCGGTCTTGGGTACTGGGTCCCTGACTCCTGGTTCTGGAAACCTAGACTCTTCCACTGGTAAAGAAAGGTATCCGTAAAGTACGGGATAGTGTGGTACAGACCGCAGAATGGGTTCCTCTTATTTTCCAATTGTTCCCTCCACCGTCTCTTTCTGCCCTGTCAGTCATTCTCCTTGCCGTTGTGGTCCACTGGTCCCTCCCCGACCCCTTGTCAAGGGCTGAAGCCTGTCTTCCTTTTGCCTTCTGCCGTTCGGGTCGTTGCCACACCCCTTCTTCTTTTCCCACAACCCTGGGGTCTGAGTCCTGAGCTCAACTTTCATCAAGTCTTCTCTGGATCCCCGCTGGCTAGTCCCCGTCCGTTCGGTGGGGGCCCATTTCATCAGCTGCGGTCACTGGGGGCCCATCGTCGACAATAACGGGGGTTGAAAGTGAACTGTGACGGGAGAGAGAGAGAAACTGCAAATCCAATGGAAGGGGAGAGGGGACCAGAAAAAAAAAGAGAGAGAGAAGCTCCCCTTTTTAGCCTCCTCACTTCAGCTTCTTCTTCTTTTTTTTCCTTTCATGCTGCAGCAGCATCAAATTTTCCCTCGTCGCTCGAATCTCCTCGCAACCTCTTAACCTCCCCTTCACCCCCTCCCTCACAGTTCATCATCGTCCTCCTCTTTCGACCTTTGACCTTATTTTGAGCCTCAACACCAGGCGAAAAAAGTAGTACCTAGCGTCGGTCACCTCGCCATCCGCTATCCCTCCTCTTTATCTTATCCTCTCCTATCCGTCCCTAACTTATTACTTGGGCTTGTTTACCTCCCTTCTCCCGCATACCTTAGCACTTAATCGAGGTACGCGCACCATCAAGCAAGGAATACAAACACACCCACCACCCCCTTTGCGCCTTGCCCTACCTTGGGCAAAAGTACTTCACCTTGAATCAAGGCGCAACACACACACACACACATACACCAATCCCCAAGCGATCGCGTGTCAAGCGTCTGCAACCCGCGTCTGCGTCTGGGACTGCGACTGCAACTGGAACTGTGTGTGTATCCGGTACCTAACTGGGTGACCTTGGTGTCTTCGGCGGAGAAACGAGCGAACGAGCCCCAAGGGCCAAGCCAAGCAAAACAATAGAGAAGTTGAGAGGCAGAAGACGAAGACGAAGAAGAAGAAGATCCCGGCCAAAGAAAAGCCAAAAAAGCAAAAGCATCAGCCCGCTTGCGCCCATCCCGCAAGGAGCCCGCCACATACCTTTGCCATACCTTCCATTAGGTACTTCGAACGGAGAGAGGTACTTTACCAAGTTACCATTGACTGGGACCACTCGCCCTCCTCCCCCACGCCCACGCCCCTACATAACATCCGCCACGGCATTTTTTCTGTACTGGTCACAGCGTGCGACTTTTTTTTTTTCTTCCTCTTCTCTCTCTCTCTCGGCTGCTCGCATTTCCCTCCTCCCAACCTGTTTTTTTCAAAGACCCATTTTCGGAGGGGGTCTCTGCACGACTATTAACGACGACCGATCCGAACGAGCGAACGGCCGTCACATCCACACACGAGAGAAATTCCTTGCGACTTTTCTGTTGCATGCTGCGTGTTTGGTGAACTGCAACCTTGCACACACACACACTGACTGCATCGCTTCGTACGCTACATCGCAATCAAGGTTGCTGCCGTCGCCTCCGTCCCCGACGCCGCTTTTGCGTCTTAGGTTGCTGTCACTTTGGCTTTGGCGAAAGGCACACTGACTGTTTGCTTGCTCCGCATCGCCCGCCATTTCCTGAGGTCGCCAGGTCCCTGTCCTCGCTCGCGTTGTCCACACACGTCAGTCGGTCGGTTTTGTCGAGGGCTTTTTTTTTGCTGCATCTACCAACTGCCCCCCTTGCCAACCCAACCTGCATCTCCCTCACACATCCGCATTACCGCCTCCCGCCTTTTCCTCCTCCTCTTCCTCCCTCCCGCTCCCCGTCGGCACATCACACGGGTTACTGGTCATCAAATCCAGTACCTGCCGTCAACGGGTCTACACCTCGAAAAAGATATCACGAAAAAAAGACAATGAGCCAGCAACAACACGACATGTATCTCGACTACTCAGCCCCCCCGAATCGCTCCCCGAGCTCCTCGAGGCAGTATGCGGGCGGCTTCCAATCTGGTCTGTCCCTCCCTCGTCAGGCCCAGCGACCTTTCGATAACGGCTTGGGCTCCTCTGCCCTATTTCCTTCCGACCGCCTTGGCTACAATCCTAGAGCCATGGATCAAATGTCTGCGAATGGTATGCCCGGGGGATATATGCTGGACAACAGCCAGGCCTGGAACTACAATGCTGGTGGTGTCGCGACCGTCAACGGTGCCATGAACGGCGCCAATAGACAGAGGAGCGTCAATCGCCGAGCCGCTCTCCCCACTGTGAGTTTCCCCCCCCCCCCCTTTCCCTCATCCTTTCGCTCTCTATAACGTAGTCGTGATCTGACCGCCCCTTAGAACTGGACCGATCAAGGACTCGGCATGCACGGCTCATATGGCTCCGGCCTCAACGGTGGAATGTCCAACGGCCTCCGCTATGACGGACAGGGTGATATGCGTCCCAGCTCGCAGACGGAAGAGCAGCTAATCCCTACCGCCATTGTCATCAAGAACATTCCCTTTGCCGTGCGAAAGGAGACGCTTGCCGCCGTCATGTTGGAAATGCACCTCCCCCAGCCATACGCCTTCAACTACCACTTCGACAATGGCGTTTTCCGTGGCTTGGCTTTTGCCAACTTCCAGTCCCCCGAAGACACCAAGATTGTCATTGATGCCATGAACGGAATGGAGGTCCACGGCCGAAAGTTGAGGGTCGAGTACAAGAAGATGCTGCCAGAGGCCGAGAGAGAGCGTATCGAGCGCGAGAAGAGGGAACGACGTGGTCAACTCGAAGAACAGCACCGCGCCCCGATGCTACACCAACAGCCATCCCTCCAGACCCTGAACAGCGTCTCCAGCAACCCTCCCCGCGCTCCCCTCGGTACGTTGCGACGAAGCCACGAGATGGACTTGAACACCTGCTGACTGACCGTGCGTAGATGGAGATATTGATCTCAACGATCCCGAGACTCTGGAGTTCTACACCGAGCTTACTCTTTTC